AACACAACAGTTTAGAATGTATGTTAGATACAGTAGCTGTCTTCATTTCTGCAAGGCTTGACGTTCTCAGTTCCTTTCCTTGGTTTAGTTCAAGCTCCTTCACCATCCTGATTGTCCCTCTCATGCAGGCTCTATAACTTACTGATATCTGTTCCAAAATGTCCACAGAACCCAAGGCAACACTCCAGTTGCACCTCTCATTTTTCACATCATGTTCATCTAATACAGCCTTAGATTATATTTGCTTTCTTACCTGCCATATTGTACTATTAACCCACACTGAGTTCTTAGTCCCATAAAATCCAGGTTACCAGTAAAGAAGTTTGTCTATAGAACCTAGTTTGTGCCTTGGACAGCTTCTAAGGCTTTATCTACTTGGATTTTGAGGGGGCGGGAGGGGGAGGGGGAGGAGATGGATGGGAATGGTAGAGTATCTCATCTAGACCCATGATTTCATTAGTGTGGGAATTCCATCTACAATTCTATGTCTCTGTAACTTATAGCTGCAGTGATTCAGTGATTTCCCCATGGTCACTTGTGTGTCTGAGATTGCATTTCAATCCTGACTCTGAGAATGACTGTCTATTCCCAACTGCCTCCCACATCTTCAGTTTGCTGCCCTGATTTGATGGCGTTTCTCTCAGCTGGCCATGACTCTAATTTGCTTTGGTGGCAGCCAATTTCACCATCCCTTTATTATCTCTCTCGCCCTCCCCCCGACTTAGGGGAGGCCGAAACTTCTGAAATGGTTATCAACAATTTGAAAGAGAATTCATGGCAATCCACTTCTCAAAGTGTTCCATGAAGGGAAGAAGCATTAACATACCAGATTCTATTCCATTTTAACAAGACGTTAATGCAAGAGAGCACAGAGTGTCAGTCATAAGCTTTGTGAAGTTCAGTCTTCTCACCTTGGAGGTGAAGGTGAACAATTTTTCTACAAAGGATACCTCTAACTCTTTTCATAACCATCCCTGATCAATACTCCCCTCTCCAATGGAGTTTATCCAGCTTAATCTCAGCTGCTTTCTGTTAACTTAAAACCCCCTTTCCACTTCCCCTTTTTTCCTTTCTACCTGCTGAAAAACTTATAAGCCAGATCTTGGTACTCTAGCAGTGGGTTTAAGTCATCTTAATGTTGCCCAGATAGATCAACATGGCTGACTCAAAACCTTCCACAATCTACAAATCACAAAATCATAGTTTTAGAGCTGGAAAGGACCTCAGCGGTCATTTAGTCCAAACTTTTCATTTGACAAGTGAGGAAACTGAGGCCGAAAGTGGTGCAGCATCTTGCCTAAGGAGGCACGAGTAATAAATGATAATGCTGGGGTTGGAACTCACATCCTCTGATTCTAAATCCCAGACTCTATATTGTTTCCTGATAGTTCATATTTGGTTTGAAAATGCCCCAAGGTATTCTTCCCCAAGAGAATCTGCTTCCTTGTCATGGATTATTGAGGAGAATATTTGTCTTATAGGAGTTGTAGGTAAGAGCTAAGGAGAATTAGTTTTGAAAAAGAGGTATACAAGGATGGAATACAATGTATGCTAGACATAACCATCACACAGTGGAAAGTCAGGCGTATCTATTTCACCTCTTCTGTTAAGTTATTTTTGGTCCCCTCAGGTAGGGGCTATGTCGACACCCACTTTACATAGTTATTACTTTCTAGCTGGTGTTCAGCATTATTTGAATTAATATCTGATCTAAGGGTTATGAGATAAATCTATCACTTATTTGGACACTATGTTGTGTATATGATTGAGTTCATCACTATTACAAGGATCCGTGATTTCTTCAGTGTGGGCATACTCTCCACCCACCCCTGCACAGATGAATAATCATTTGATTATTTCAAAGATGGTCTTTGAGAGCTACTGTGGCTGAAAAACATCATCATTCTCTGGTGATGAACCCTCTCTAAATTTAGGTGGGTTGCTTCTCTGCTGGTTGATATTCTTCATTTGTTTCAGTCGTGTCCAACTCTTTGTGACCCTATTTGGGGTATTTTTTGGCAAAAATACTGGAGTGGTTTGCCATGTCCTTCTCCAGCTCCTTTTAGAGATGAGGAAACTGAGGCATACAAAGTTGAATTACTTGCCCAGGGTCACACAGCTAGTAAGTGTCTGAGGCCAGATTTGAACTCAGGAAGATGAGTCTTCTTGACTCTAGGCCCAGCTCTCTGTCCACTGTACCACCTAGCTGCTCCCCGGATACTCAAGCCTTTTCCCCTTGGTGGAGTCTGCACTCTGATGCACTCTTTAACAACCTGGGGTCTTCTCCATTCTATCATGAGAGTTAGGCTTTAGTGAAGAATAGGCCCATATTCCAGTGGAGCTGTAATCTCATTGATGTGAGTATTCCTTCTGATGATGCAGATTGCAACCCATCCATACCAGTGCTGCCTTTGTGGTTTCTGTCTACATCTTCCCACAGGTTTACTCTGGTAAGGAGTTCCATCCTAAGGCTGGAACCTTCCTCATAGCCTATTGATATCATGAGAATGCTAGTGTAGCTCATGGGCTGTCCATCAGGTATCCCTTGATCTTGCCATGAGACTAACCCATCATTCCCCATTGCACAATGATTGAAAGTGGGGACAAGTTTACACATCTGTAAGCTTAAATGAAAACACAAAAATCTTTACTGTTTATAGCAATTGGTCCTTGAATAAGAAACTATCACTTTCTTAACTGTATAGTGCTTATAGATTCTTAAGAAGCAAGGACCTTTGCTGAGAATTTTTCATACTAGTAAAAATTTGCTCTATATCAGCCATTAGCACCCAGCGTTCTCTGTGCTCTGCAGGACACTATTCATATGGCAGCTTAAGCACAGACAGAGATGACCTGTACTTTCTTCAGGCACAAGGGATGTACCGTGGACTTCTAACTGATTTATCTTCATACTTTTTTAATTGGCCCTCTGACAGTTTCAGTGTCTTACAAAGTGTATATATTTTGAGTTAAACCATTGCCAAGTACAGGGTTCTGCAGAGTTTAATTTCTAATAACCAGCCGACCTCAAGGAATTAAAAATATTTCCTACACTCCTCAGCCTGACCTGCCCAGGGTCAATGGAGGATGCTCCAGTGGTCTCTTGGAGGGCAAAGTTGCAAAGCTTTGAGGGGCTGTTGGGTGGTCTTGGAAGGTGAACAGTGTGTATGTCCTCTGGGCCAATGGGGCCAGCATCAGGGGTGACTTATGCATCAGCCATCCATTAGCCAATCTGTACAGACTATCTCATGGACCAGGGAGGATTTGGTGGTGCCTGTAAAGCTTTGGGAATTGTAATGTGAAGTTGTGGCTTTCTTTACCCTGCCAACACCCAACCCTCTTTTCAGAATCAATTCTGGTTCATCAGTGAAGTATTTTACCTAAAACAAACAGGATCTCAAGCAAATTAGGCTATTTTTTTCAACCCTTGGCACTGATATCTTTTCTTAAAGTAGCTATTTAACAGACTGCTTCAATTGAAGTACATTTAATTTCCATGTAATTCAGTCTTGCAGAACCCAACTAACAGATTCAGTACTCCAGAACTTTTTTTTTTCAGCTGATTTCAACTTTTAGGAGAAAGGAGTCAAATCACTAGAAAACAGTTTCTATCAGGGATTTATGCCAAAAAAAAAAAAATTATAATAACTTCTTGGGTAAATCTCTGGGAATACACATTCATTTCTGTCTCTTACTCCTCTAACTACAGGTTTAGACAATGAGACTTGATATTCTGAAGTAAGACCCTGAGGCATTACAAGTTCTCAAATAACCTTCAGGATACTGTGCTGGAAAGAGGAGTAATTTATCTTAGAAAGCATTTTACAACAAGAATTGAACCAGTTTTCTGCTTTAACTATTCACTCACTGGAACACTTGTTTCTTCTCAGCATTCCAGATAGCTGAATTTTTATTAGGTAATAAAATCCTAGTCTCTGGACACTAATATACTGTCTCTTAACATTTTTATACTGCATCTAACAGAGTGCTTTTTCAGGAACTTTTTTTTTGATAGTGATGGTGGTGAAAAGGGTTGATTACCTTAGAATAAGGAGAACCATTTGGCAAATTACAACCTAGGGGAAAATTTTGTGTGTCATCTAGAATCTCCTCATCAGACATGGAGTCCCATGAAAAAGAACTGTCCACATTTATCTCTAGGTCAAGTTCTTCTTTAGGTATCCTAAAATTATATTGTTCCTGCTGCCATCTTGCCCCACAGCTGTGCTTTCTGTGTTTCTTATGTCATGAGTCACCCAAGGGACCTTGGGGGGGGAAGGAAGTTAGGATCCATATCATGAAGGGAACAAGTGAAAACCAAATGTTTCATGCGATGCCAAAAGTTAGCACCACAGAGCCTATTGTTCAAAGTGCAGCCATCCAGTGACCCTGATATAAGAGATAAAATTTTTTTGCAAGGAGTTTTCATATGTTTGGGGGCAGCGGGGAGAGAGAGAAAATGAGGGCAGTACCAGATGAGGTGGGAGGACACAGGAAACACTGTGGTGCTGATCATCATTTGCCTGGTTGCCAGCTTATCTCACTAAACTTTGAATCTTCTGATAATGGCCATGGTTGTTCTGACTTTTCTGCCTTGCCTTCGCCTGCTAGCCCATCAGTACTGCCAATACTACCAAGCTTAAGAGCTTAAATGATTGCAACAAGGTTTACTGTGCTCTATCCTGGTTTAGCTATGGTAAGCAATGGGCTTGTACCTTTGCCTCTTCGTAGGCTAAAGAAGACAGCAGCTCTTCTAGCCTATAAATAGCTGGATATTAAAAACAAATGACCAGCCTAGTAATCATGAGCTATCCAGTCTTTCCAAAAAGTTTTAGTGAAATGATATCTGAGTGGGAGTAAATAACAAAAGGGAAATGGAAATTCATTTGGAATAAAGCAGAATTTAACTTCTGGAAATTCAGAAGGCAAAGAGAGAACACATTTGTTTTTATGTTTGTTTGTTTGTTTTTTAACACGACACGTGTGTTTGTCCTTTATAGGTTTTATAACCAGCCATCATTAGTGTGGTCTTCCCAGCCTAAGACAGATCTTGCCTACTGGAGAAGAAAAGGACAAGACTTCAGTGTGCTGCTGGATTATACAGACAGAGTAAACCTTGAAACCCCCAGAATGGCAGAGCCCCATGGTATGACCCGAAATGTGAGAGAGGGTCAGTTGGAAGTAGGATTGAGGTTGGAAAACACAATGAGGAGAGCAGTTTTAGAAGACAGCTGGAAAGTATCTGGAGATCCCAAGTGGCAGAATGAAAATCTTGAGAGCTGGAACCAACCTAGGAGACTAGGGAGGCAGATGTCTGATGGAGATGGGGAGAAGCTGCTGCAAGATCTGTACTCATTTACGAAAGGAGACAATACATTTAATTCCCAAAACAAGGGAAAGTCCCAGTCATTGCCTAGAGTTCTTTCCCCTGACGACCTAAGATGTGTGGAAATGCCCACTCTGATAAATGATTACCATTTGCCAGGGGATGCTAAAATGCTATTTTATCCTACAAATAGTACATCAAACTTGGAGTACCTAAGAAACCCTGAAAAGGGTGATCCCTATATTCCTTTACAAAAGCCCAAGTATGGGAGACCCCTAAAACCTCCATCTTATGAACTCTACCGACAGACTCGAAGTGGAGTAGAAAACAGCAGGTATCAGGATAACTACCAGAAAGACTGTATTTCTTTTCTGCCCAAAACTAATGAGCCTAGACAGGACCCTTCTAACCTAGACCCAAATTTGGAGCCTCCCATGTACGTCCCACCACCATCTTACAGATCACCACCCCACCAGAACACAAATCCACATTCCCTAAATGAAGTGCCTCATTTCCAGCATGGTGGTCACACGCAGCAGCAGCAGCAGCAGCAGCAGCAGCAGCTGATGGAGATGCCCATTGCTGGCCACTACACTTCATCCGACTCCTACAGGTCAGGGAATCAATATGGTGCAAGTGTGTGTCCCCCCCATGGGCTTCCCAGACACCCCCAGCGCATGGATGCTTGTGACAGCTCAGTTCAATATATTCCCTTCAGTGACCCACGAATCCGACACATTAAAATGACCCATCATCAGGACTTCTTCCAGGAAACCAAATTCCTTGAAAAGCTATATACCGCAGGTCCCTCTGGTTTCCAGGGACCAGCTCGGGTTCAAGCACAAGATGATGGTGCCTTTTTTCATTCTGAAAGCCAAGTCCCAGCAACCAAAAGTGAGAGTGATCCTGCCTCTTATGAACCTAGCCTTGGGTGGCTCCCGGCAGCACCCCTTCTAGACAGAGAAATCTGTGCCTTGCCTGACCAAAGAGACAATTGTGTTTTAAGTGAACAGCAGCCTGATAAGGAAAACAGCCGTCAGCAGTGTGCTAAAGGGAGGGTTTCTTCCCAAATCCCACAGTGGGAGAGTACCTGTGAAACCATAACTAAGCTCAAAACATTTCAAACTGGGATTCAGACCAAGAAAAGTTCAAAGAAAAAAGTGAACGAGACTGTATTTTGCTTGGTTTCTGTCCCAGTTAAATCAGAGCCACATCTGCTAGATACAGATAGGAATAACAATGATTTAAAACAGAGTGCGGATAAAAAGAATGGCAATGATAAGAGAGGGGCTTTGCGAGAACAAAGTCTCTTGAGCATGTCTTCCACAGACCTGGAGCTACAGGCACTTACAGGAAGCATGGCCAGTAAACCTGAGCTACAAAAACAAGGAGCAGCAGGGCCAAAACAGTACAAACAAACAAATGACCTCAGATTCAGTCACTCCACAAAACATAGAGAACTCAAATATTCTGGGTCTTGGCCAGGTGACCAGTACAGAGACCAGCAAACACAGACCACTGTCACCCAAGAATCCCAAACGTTCCAGTTTCTTCCTGCTAAAAACATGGAGGGCCAATGCAGTGTACCACCCATTCCAAAAGTATCAGACCGCTCTGCCTCTGAAACTCTGAAGCCATCAGCATCACCTCCTAGTGACTGGAAGTTGAGGCCAAATACCGGGAATCTGAAAGGTCAGATGTACTTCAGCCCGTCTAGCAATAGTGCTTTCTCAAGGACTACTTCGTCCATCATTCAGGGGCCTACATCAAAAGCAGGCCAAAGACAGCCTGATGACCCCTCCCTCGACATAAATGAAAGGGACACTAAGCCAGTATTCAAAGGTCAAGTAGTGAAGGGTGAGGCAAGTGCCCCTTGCAACAGTAAAGCACTCTTTGGTCAGTTTCTCTTAAAACCAGTTAGCCGTCGTCCCTGGGACGTAATTAGTCAGTTAGAAAGTTTTAACAAGGAGCTTCAGGAACAGGAAGAAAGCAGCAGTGACAGCAGCAACAGCAGCAGCAGCAGCAGTATTGATGGAGAAATTATAGAAAGTGAACAACAGATGCAGGGGGATGTTGATATTGATGCTGGCACTGGGTTAAAGGACTATAAGCCTGATGAACCCAGCCAGGAAATGAGAGTTGGGTTACAGCCAAGGACAGCAATACCAGAGTTTCCCGTATTTAAATCAGGAAGAGTCAAGAGTGTGGAGCTGACATCTGATTTCATATACGACTATCCTCAACCACGGATACCCTTCCAGAGAAGAGATAGCAAAGGTGAATCTGTTAAGCCCACAGAAGAAAGTGCGATTCCAGAAACAAGAAACCAGGAAACAGAGACCAGAGTAAACAAATTGGCCACCAGCCCAGAGCCTGCAAAAAGAATGATGTCGAATAGTTTGATGAAGACAATTCCAAGCCCCTTGAGCTACCCAGCTGACATAAGAGAGCCCCAAGAAAACAGTCAGTATGGCGATGTAGTCAATTCTGCACCACCAAGCCAAATAATTCATCCCAGGAGTGACAGAGCCGAAGAGGGGGAGTCAGGGGTACACATTTCTTTAGTGAACAAAACCCAAGGTTTGTCTGACATGAAGTAAAGTTTGTGGGGCTTGATACAGGTCCAGAGCATAGTGCCAACAAGTTAGATGACGTGTTAGAAAAACCAGGTGCAATAGAAATCCCTCCTAATGAACCCCTTCAAACAAGGGCAGCCCGGATTCTGGGCATAGAAGTAGCCGTGGAGTCCCTCATCCATGGTAACAAGGAAAGAGGGCCAAACCATCTTCCCAGTCCTGCTCAAAGTGTTCCCAAGGCTGATTTGCCAGCAACAAAAACATTATGCAATTTGGTGCAATCAAATAACCCTGACCCTGTATCATCAAAAAGTGCTTTTGACAGCCGGAGAAAGTGTGGCTGGACCGAAAGCCCTCTCTTTGTAGGGGAGAGAGACACACATTTGAAGACACATGTAATTCCCCAAGATTCTGAACTGAACCCAGGTGTGGATGGAGATGACACCACTAATACTTTGGTCCCTGCATCTGAGCCCAAATCACCTTCCAACCTCCGTGGTCAAAAGGACCTCAGGACAAACCAGTCCTACAAGTCAACTTTATTTCATTGTCTGGAAAGAAACTCCACCGGGATGGGCACAGAAAAGAAATTCAGAAGCACCTCCAAGGTGATTGAAACCATACAAGAGAAATTAGTGAGTCCTCCAACCAAAACAGCTGTGGACCGGCTAATGAGAATGAAGGAAGTTGATTCCATCTCTCGAATTAGACGTCTCAGTTCCAAGAGCACTGATTCTGGGGAGGAAACAGAGGAAGAGAAAATTCAGAGAAGACTGGAAGGACAGTCAAGGGTTGGCTTTGGCTCTTTGAATGGCAGTGACCCAGGACACAAAGTGGGGGATGCTGGAGCTGAAGAAAATGGGCATCGGACAATACGTAGTGTAAAAAAGAATGCAGAGCAAGATCTTTTTTGCCTAGGTAAGTAGCATTAACTAACACTTGAGTGATGCTTTGTTGGGGATGAGTACAATCTGTCTTTGTTAACTAAGAATCCTTTTGGGGAAGGTGGAGGTTCAAACCTGTGATTTACTTAGTGTGGGGGAACTCTTGGTGTAGAGACTCCCTCCACTAAAGCAGATCACCAATTTGTCTCTAATTTCTGTGGCCTCAGAGACTTGACTAGGGACACTACGAAGATTTAAGTGACTTTCCTGTGGTCATAAAGGCAGGAGATGTCAGAGGTACCACTTCCCCCAGGTCTGATTGCAAAAATGGTCTCCTAACCACTAGGTTGCATTGCCTTTCAGAATGTAAGAAATAACCATGTAAGTACATCCTGCTTTAAGAAAAACCAGTATGTGAAACTTGGCATGTGGACCAAATAAACTGGGGAATGATTATTGATTTTAACAAAAAAAAAATTCTTTAGGGGCAGCTAAGTGGTGCAGTGAGTAGAACACTGGCCCTGGATTCAGGAGGACCGGAGTTCAAATCTGGCCTCAGACCAAACACTTGACACTTACTAACAGTGTGATCCTGGGCAAGTCACTTAACCCCAATTGCCTTAAAAACAAAAACAAAAAAAAATTCTTTGTGTTATAAAAAGATATGCCAGAGTGGAGATTTTTCATCTCACTTGTGTCACGGAGCCCCTAGGCAATGTGGTGGAGCTAATGGACCCATTCTCAGAACCATGTTTTTAAATGCATAAAATAAAATACATAAAATCCCAAAGGATACCAATTATATTGAAATTCAGTTATGAAGAAAAAAGATTTAAAACAAGCTTACATATTGCAGATTCCCTAGACAAGAGTGTTCATTTAGGTTAAGTATAGGATAAGATCAGAGATGTAGAGGTGGAAGGGACATCAGAGTTCTATAGGTGGTATGTATCAGAGGCAGATATGAACTCAGTCCAAAGCCATTGTTATTTGCACTGTACCACCCTGCCTCCCTTGAATCCTCTGATGCATTTAAAATTCTGTTCACAGAAATGAAGTTTACACATAGTTTTCTCAGAACCTAACTACTATGAGAAGTAAGTCACAACTTTGCTGGCTTCCATAAAATGGTACTCCATCTTAGATGGTAGCACCATTGGACATTTTATAAGAGACTAGTAGTTACCCTCCAGGGTAGCTAGGTGGCACAGTGGATAGAGTGCAGGGCCTGGAGTCAAGAAGACTTGAATTCAAATTTGACCTCAGGCACTTGCTTGCTGTGTGACCCTGGGCAAGTCACTTAACACTGTTTGCCTCAGTTTCCTCATCTGAGCTGGAGAAGAAAATGATAAACCACTGTAATATCTTTGCCAAGAAAACACCAAATGGGGTCACAAAAAGTAGGACATGACTGAAACAACTGAACAACAGCAACAACAAAAATTACCCTCCAGGATATCACCACTGGTGATTAGAAACATACCTCCTAAATATTCCTAACCACCCTTTAATAACTGAATAAGAACAAAAGACGTGCCAGATTAGACTGACCTAATGGCCTACATATCCCAAAGGCCTTCAAAATATTTTTTCCCATTTGTTTGACTGCTTTGTTCAATATCAGATTAATGTAATAGACTTTAAGAGGTTTAGCAGCTAGAATAAACAGCCTGTACTCTCATTCCTCCCCATAATGCTCAGCAGGTCTGCCTTTTCGTGTGTCTTATGTCTTAATTATCAGATCTCCCATAAGCCAGTTTTGGCAAGGGGAATGCTGAAGCCTTCAAGACGGACTCATTAACTTTTCAGAAACCTGCATGATTTGTCAGTTTTCCAATAGCAGTGACCATTCTTTGCACCAGCCTGGAATGGACTTCTGATATGATTCTGAGAGGCAAGGGGCTTGTTGGCTGCAGGGCTTCGTAAACTTTCTACACTCGAGACCCCTCCAGCGCTACTCTGAGACCCACAGTTTAAGAAGTGCTGAAGCGATCTGGAGGGGAAAAAGTTTAAGAGGGCCTGCCTGTGTAATTAGAAAGTCTTGCCCCCTACACACAGTAATCATATGACTCTAGGTAAGTCATTCAGATTCTTGGTACCCCCAGACAACTCTCTGAAACTAACTTTACAAATCCATCTGTCTTTACCTGTGGAGGGAGTTTGCACACGAGGGGTCTTTCCCTCCATGATGAAATCACAGGTCAGAGCCAAAAGTCTCTGGCACAAATAGATCTCTTTGGGGCTGACTGAACCATGCAGTCACTATGCTTATTGACCATGTGCCCTAGGCAGGAACACCTTTGTATAGTCACAGGGAATGGATTCAATATTCAAACTGGGAATAAGGAGGAAAATGGTTTAAAGAATCAAAAATGTGGTAAGTTAAAAGGGACAGATTCCCTTCGGGTGACTAAAAATCTAAGACTCTGTTAGTGTTAAACTCTCCTGGTTTTTTGGAAAGAACTATACTCTATTAAATTCAAAATCTTAGAGTAATATGAAGAGGGGGTTGGGAGTGGGGGTGGGGTGGAAAGGGAAGAATCAACATTTATTAAATGCTTATTAAGTTTTACAGATATTATCTCCTTTGATCCTCACAACAGCCCTGGGAGGGAGATGCTACTATTATCCCCATTTTACAGATGAGGAAGCTGAGGCAGACAACTATTAAGTGACTTGCCCAGGGCCACACAGCTAGCACCAGGCCCAGGGTTCTATCCATTACTGCCTCAGTAAGAAAAATAAGGTTATTTTTAGAGCAGAAACTCTCATGATTTCTTGTATGCTGAACCTTCCTAGATAATTCACAAATGAATGAGTGTAAGGGAGGTGGGCTCTAATCATAAAATTCCTCCAGCTAGCAGGCATCTTAGAGATTATCTAGTTTAACCCCACCCATGTGCCCCCGTTATTTTACAGATGAAGGTATGGGTCTCTAAGACCCAGAGAGGTATGCAAGGTCCCACAGCTAGGCAGCATCCGAGCAGGATTGGAGTGCGTGTCTGATTTCCCCCTGAGGGTTCTTTCCATCATCCCCTTCATGGGGTAGAGTTGGCGGGTGTGTTTTTGTTTGTTTTCTTTCTCCTATTCATTTTCTGTGCCCACTAAGCAGAGGAATTAAACATTTGAAAGTTAATGGGGGTTGGCACAGTCAGGAAGAGCTGGCATAGGGCTTGGTCCTTCATACATGACTACTTTAAACAGATGAACTGTGAAGACTTTGCATTTCAGAATGCTTCACGTGAGACTGAGTGCACATAAGTGGCATGTTGTCAAGTTTGTGTACAGTAACACTCTTGGGAGAGGGAGGGAGGGAAGGAGGGAGGGAATGAGTATTTATTAAGCATCTACTGTGTGCCAGGTACTGTGCTAAATGCTCTATAAACATCTCATTTGATCCTTATAAGAACCCTGGAATATAGATGCTATTATTATCCTCATTTTATAGTTGAGGAAACTGAGGTAGACAGATGAACTTGGCTTAGAGGTGGCATGATATGGAGGAAAGAGCATTTGTTTTGGAATCTGAGGACATGGGTTCAAATCCCACCCCTGGCACTTACTCCTGGCACAACATTTCTTGCACAAGTTGTCTAACCTTCCTGAGCCTCAGTTTCTTTGTCTGTAAAATGAAAGAAGGGACTAGACACCTTCAGGGTCCCTTCTAGCTCTGAATCTGTGTTATTATCTCTGATTCTTATTAACAGCCTTTTTCTCCCAGTCTCCACATTCCCTATAAAGAAAAAAAATCCATGTATATGGTATATGCTAGGGAGGGTCAGATGGAAGTAGGAGCAAACTCTGTGGGGTCAACATCATGGCAAATGATGGCCTCTCCAGGCCTCAGCTTTCTCATCTATAAAATGGGAGTGTTGGGCTGGATGGTCTGCCCAAGTCTCTTCCCAGCTCTGGCTGTAATTATGACTTGGGACCACCCTTTCCACTTCAGTCCCTGACAGTGGACCAGAAATTATAGATACAATCAACTCTGGGTTTTCCTGCTATGTAAAATAGGGGTGCCTTCTAAGCTTATACACCGGGCTTTCTTGTCTTCATTGTGTGGTATTTATTATCCCTTACCAGTGCCTTCCTTGTGGATGGAAGGATTATGTGGCTGGTTCCATGCTATCTTATTATTCCTTTTGGAACTGACCCACTGGTGGATCCCATCTGCCTATGGATCAAGTTATAATCCAGTGCTGGTCTACAATTGGAAAGGTACCGATTGTGTTCAGCCCCCATTCATTTCAGCCACCTCTGTTACATGATTCAATTCAACAGAGCTTTATGGATTGTTTGCTATGTATTCTATTAAGATATTATATATGGTTGGGGATGGTGGTGCATACCTGTACTCTCCACTACCAGGGAGGCCAAGGTTGGAGAATCTATTGAGCTTGGGAGTTCTGAGCTGTAGTGCACGAGGCTCATTGGGTGTCCACGCTAAATTCAGCCTTAATATGGTGAGTGCTCAGGAACGAGAGGGGCCACCAGGATGCCCAAGGGGTGAAGAGCTGGCCAAGATTGGAAAATGGAGCAGGACAAAGTTCTCCTGGACGTCAGACACTTACTAGCTGGGCCATACTTCCAGCCTGGGTGACATAGGGGAGACCAGTGTCAAAAAAAAAAAAGATCTCATATATAATCTAATATGTCCAGTTTTTCTATTTTTCAACTTAGTAGAAGAGTACTGATGGCTTAATTAAGCCACCATTCATCTGTTGGTGACTCACCACTATGCCATCGAAGAGCTGCTGTTAGGGAAACATCTTGAACTGAAGTATGTGTTCAGCTGTTTTTCAGTTGTGTCTGACTCTTTGTGACCCCATTTGGGGTTTTCTTGGCAAAGATACTGGAGTGGTTTGCCATCTCCTCCTTCAGCTCATTTTACAGATGAGGAAACAGAGGCAAACAGGGTGAAGTTACTTGCTCAGGGTCACACAGCTAATAAGTGCCTGAGGCCAGATTTGAACTCATGAAAATGAGTCTTCCTGACTCCAGCCCCAGGGAGCTATGTACTATGGCATCACCTAGCTTCCTCATACTGAAGCATAGATTTTGTAATCTCCCTCGAGGTCAGGGCCCTATTTTATTTTGTTCTTTATTTTCCTAGTCCCTAACAAAGAGCCCAGCAATTAGGAAACACTCATAAGTACTTGTGGAGTTGACTTATGGAACAGAGACAGATGAAACTTAACAGGGTCCGAAGAGAACCAGGATCTTGTTGACAATTTTGGTTTATAATGCCCAATTCAGACGTACATTCAAGCCTGTGAATCTTCTGGACACTGGTAAGTCAGTTAGAGATAGGTGTCAGCAGTCTTCAGGAAGTCTTACAGTGGCTGACAAGCCTTGATCTGGCTTAGGCAAGTAGATGGCACAGTGACTGGATAAGATTCTGGGCCTTGAGTCAGGAAGACCTGAGTTCAAATCACTCAGACTTGTCTTAGCTGTGTAACCCTGGGGCAAGTCACTTAATCTCTGTCTCTTGGTTTCCTCAGCTGTAAGGTGGGGATAATAATAGCACCTTCCCCCCACCCCTCCCCTAGGCTTATTGTGAGGATAAAATGAGATCATATTGGTAAAGAGCTTTGCAAACCTTTAAGTGATTATACAAGCTATTGTTATTGTTGTTGTTTGTGTGCTCCTGTCTGTCTTGTCAGAAGACTCTGGAAGGAGTCTTTGGCCAGTATTTATCCAGTGACTACTCTGGCATGCAACTGCTCAGTGCTCCGTGTCATGGATGTCCTCAGTAATGACTTATCATCTAGCGGATAAGCCGACCAACTTGGCATTTAGGAGGGATTTCTTTTTTCAGGCCTCCAGTGAGCAGCAAGTTTGACATTTTCAAACTTTCATGAATGAAAAGCCTCCCTCTTCTTAGTGTGGGTGGCAGGGAAGCCAGGCTTTGTTAACAAAAGGTTCCTCAAAGAAACTAGCCCAGCAAGAGGCCTCGTACAACTCCGGACCAAAAGCTCAGCATTTTCTGGTTCACGTTGGAATCTGTCACGTTAGCAGTGTATATCATTCTGAGGGTTGAATTTTCAGAAGAAGACATGGGGAGAGGTACTTCTTTTTAACACAGAAAGCATTTTTTGAAGGCATTAAGTATCGCCCCCATTAAGTACAGAAATTGCCTAGACCTTTAAGTATCTCAATCTTTACTGACTCAGGGTCCCCCAGATGTATATTTTTTTAATTGTCTCAATCTTCATAGCAACACAGTGAGCTGAGTAGAGTGAGATGAAATGGTGATTGGATACGTTTTGATGATAAAGACATAAACTTATTGTCTACATGGCCTACATGAGGTGCAGCAAGTCAGAGGGGAAGCAGAAATAATGACTTTATTGTTATGCCATAACAAATATATTGTGTTAAAGCCACAAATACTTTACAGGCATGATCTTATATGATCCTCGAGACCTTCGTAAAGTAGGCAGGGAACATGTTACAGAGGATTGAAAGAACAATGGACCTGGAGTCAGGAATATATGAATTTACATCCAGTCTGAGACACTTACTAGCTATGTGAACCTAGATAAGTCCCATAACTGCTATCTGCCTCAGTTTCCTGAACTGTAAAATGATGATAATAGCACCTACTTCACAGGGTTGTTGTAATGATTAAATGAGATAATAATATTTGTAAAATGCTTTTAACCCAGTGCTTGTAGGCACTTAATAAATATTTGTTTCCTTCTTTCTCTTTCTTATACCCATTTGACAGGTGAAGAAAATGAGTCTCAAAAGAGTTGAGATTTACCAATTATGTGATCTTGGTTAGCAAGCCAGCTGGAACTCAAACGCAGGTCTCCTGATGCCTAAATCCAGTGTGTGCCTGCCATAACCCCTACTGCCTCCTGAGAGCAGAGGCTGTCATATCTTGTTCTTCCTTTTTAAAACTTCCAAACTGTGCCAGCCTTCCTTGCAGACAGTTTTTCAACATTCTTACCTTTTTTTTTTAAAGAAAGAAACCTTTAGCTGATAATTCATGAAATGAAGTCATTTTGAATGTAGTATGTCCAAATCTAGCATGGATGACAGAATCATAGCTTTAGAGCTAGCATGGATCTCCAAAGAATGTTGCCTTGACTTGAGTCTAGTAGAATGCTTTGGTAGAATAGCCTCACTTCTATCAAAGGTTCATGAATCTTGTATTTTTCATATTTGATTAATGGAAGAGAGAGGATGGACCTCATATTCCAGGATTTATGAGTGCCCATTTTGAACTGGATACTGGGTTAATCCATCAGCTGAACCAAGCACTATGCAGAATCCCCAAGCAGCCAAGTGTATCCATGACCATGGTTCTGAGAGCAGGAGGCCCACTCTTTCCAGCTAAGGCTATCCGCTTCATTCTCTTGTCGCTTTCAGGGGATGTCTGGCAAGTAGCCAAGAATTGAGTGTTCTTCAAGCCAACGCGTTATAGCATTTGAGTTTCAGGATGGAAATTCAGGTTTACTTGGAGAAGTTGGTACATTGTGTTAAGCATACATAACTTTGAAAAAAACAAAAGCATTCTCAGCCACAAATGGACACAACAGAAGTCAGCTTGTTTCAAAGTTAATGGTACTACATTTTGAACAACAGAAAAAAAATCTCTCATAATGTTATTTACTCCTTCCCCTATGTGCCTCAACTCCCATATAATTACTGAATGTGCTTCCTTTTAAAACATGGGTTGAAATTCATGTCCTACCTCCACAATAAACAGGCTTGCAGAAATAGCTGAAATTGACTTAGGCACTCTGAAGAATGAGGAAGGAGAAAGGAGAAAGAAAAGGAACAAGAAGACAATATTGCTTTTTTTTCTGTTTGTTATTCTTTACTTGCTAACTGGATGAAGATTAAAAGTGATTAATTGATCTGTTGCTGATTACTTCCTTTTCTTGACTTTTAACAGATACATACGATCCTAGCCGCGTTGAAAGAGTCTGATATGAATGATGTGCAAATCTCGGAACACTCCAGCCTGCTAATTAAGTATCCTCTGATTTGGGGCTGACCAGCCTGCCTGCCCTACGTGTTTGCTTAGAAATCATCACTAGTTTTTGGTATATCGATAAAGCCTTTACCACTGCCGATAGAAGTGAATCATTCTTTTAGAGCTATTTTGTGGAGATAATGAAAATCTTGCCCTTTGAAGCCACACCTGTTTTCTGTAGCAGCTCTAATTAAGCTGTGCCTACATTTGTCAAGGTTTTTTTCACATTGATGGAGGCAGCTAGGGTGTAAATGGGATGAAGCTAGGTATTTCATCTAGTCCTTCAGTGTCAAAGGTCAGACACGGGAATACTATGAAAATGATTTGGAAAAGAATGTGAATGTGTTAGCTCCTTTCTGGATCTCTAAAGCCCAGGCTTTTGTGTTTATAGGATAGAATCTTGGAGACACACTCTTTCTGAGAGTCCTTCTGCACTCTGAGTTGTAGGGAAATGGGGAATGAATATAAGGTTAGAGACTGATCCTTAAAAAAAAAATCAATTTGGCCACCTACTATTAAAAAGAATTTGCTTTAATTACACAAGTAAACTCGCCACATTTAGAGAATAAAAGCAATATCTTATAAGCTCCTAGGGGGTAAGGATCTGTGCCATAATGGACTAAGAATATTATTTATGGAGCAACTAAATATTTTGGTCAGTTGCAAACAAAATACCACAGTGTGTTTTGCACTCAGTATTATCTACTTTTATTTTCTGTATGGATATTTAGAAATTCTTTTATATGAAAAAAATTGCTGATTTAAAATAGCCCATTTTAACAAAGTAACTATATTTCTTTTTAGAAGAATATTATTTTTCTATGTAAACTATTGTTTGGTGGCAGATTTTTAAGAAGTATTATATTTAAAAGAATCTGTATCCTTTTGTGTGAAGGGAGCCCTGATGAGGGTTCAGTTTGATGTCTTAATGTATATGTTATATCTCTTAGTCGTATACAATGCTGCCACTTGGATTTTGTTGTGAAAAGAGATTCTATATATATAAAAATATTGTGGGGTTAATTAACTCTTTTTAAAAATGAATTTTTCACAAAGATTTTTCACAAACATAGCTGATGGGGTATTTTTGAAAGTCATCCCTTTCAGGGTGCAGCTGAAATCCTCCAAGTATCATAACTGGTGCCAGAGTAACTAGAATTACCAAAAAGTGGTTTCGTATTGTGTCTGATTGTACAACCCTGAAATACACCTTCTCCAATTCACCCAACACTTCCCTCTCCCCTAACTACCACACATGTACATGTGCAAGTGCACACACCCACACCCACACCCACAAATGCTGTTAAGCATTTTACCTGAAATGCTTCTGAATTAGTCTTTGTATTAAAAATATTGCTTTGAGACATTAAATATGTTGCATTTCAAAAGAATATTTTGAGGCCTGTACATTCTGCTGTGTTTAATATTGCATTAACCTGCACAAACTTTATTTATGAATTTTTTATGTGTTTCTATCCACTCTCTTTGTAAGATATTTTCATTTGCTAACATTCATTTGAAGCTTCTTTGCTTCCATCCCCCTTCCTTCTTGCAGGAAAATTGTCTTCTACATTGTCCTTCTCAAAAAGCTCCTTTATCTGCTTTTATTCATCTCAACTTCCTGAAATGATCACTTTGGGGTGGTCTATAATTTGGCCCCAAAAGCAGCCCTTGTGGTGCTTTAGAAAGCCCCTTTATAGCCCTGCCATATGATTTTTTTTTTACAGAAGACCTTTATATACTTAGTCTATTATAAACAAAATAAGATTCATGTAAATCATTCTTCAGAATCCCCTCAGATATGCTAATGAACAATCTTGGCATATTTTATTATTCATTTTAAGTTTTGGCTTTTCCAGCTGGAAAGTTACAACAAGATATAGCATTCATATCAGTAGGAACCAGGGCCAACTCACTGCTTGGAATGGCCATGGAATGACTGTTTCTGGGAAAGACTTTAGTGCAGAATGGTTCACTCAAACTTTGGTCATTGGTTAACCACTTAGATTAGTGTTGGGTCAACTGGATTGAAACTGAACCACCTGACAAGCCTATTTGGGATCGGTATCCTTTTCACATTTAGAAAGTGGGAAGAATCTTTTTTTTTTCCAAAAAGTAACCTTGTCCTCTCTAAAACTATCAACATATTGCCTAAAGGTATTCAAATTAGAAATGTCATCCTAGAAATGATTGGAAAGAAGAAAAACTGAGCTTTATTCTTACTCCAGATTCCTCCTAATGGCCGCAATGGGAAAAAGAAAATGGAAACACAAGAGAAAGCAGGAAAAGGGAGACAAAATGTCTCATTTCTTTATGGTCGATAGATAATTTGGGAAGTATAGAGGATTGTGACTTTGAGACTTCCATTAGTCTCAGGCAACTGACAAATATATCATCCCCAAATATGGCTTATTTGAAGCCAATAACAGCAATAAACCATGACAGTTTTCTCCCCCTTAGATGGTGTATAATTGATTAATTGGTAGCAATTACTTGATTCAACTCAATAAATAATTTTGCTGTTACCTATTTGCCAAATTGTTTTCTTGGTAAATACAGCTGTTAACATGGTCATGTTAATCAAGAGTTTGGGGACTTAAAAGATTGAAGTTTAGTTCTGACCAATGTTAAACTGGAAATTTATAGAAAAATTACATGTAAAGTTGAAGTAAATGGTAATTTAAAAAAGAAAGAAACTAAATTTAGCTAATGGCTACTTGGTTCTTATTTACCTTGCCATGTAGCAAACTTTTAACTGACTGAAAATAATGTTTCAACATTCTTTCCCTATATCCTTTGCTATATCCACAGCCTGTCCTAGAATACCAACCAAATGTGTAAAGGTTTCCCTCTGGAAAGCCTTTAGTTTCCACCACCATGACCACCACCTGCTGTGCCTAACTTTTCTGGCCCAGTGGATTTTTTGAGACTCTTCCTCTTAGCCTTGTTGTATGTATTGGCCAATTTGGTTAGGATAGGTATTATTAGTGGGAGTTACTATTCCATTATGGAATAGGAGGGAATTCCCATACTGATCAAATCCTTAACAGGGTTTTGATATTTGGGGACCATTTTTTTTATTGGTCAATGGCCATGGTTATTTAAAATCACCGTGATGAAACAAACTGTTCCAAATCCATGGGACACACTTTGACCTATGCAATAGCCTATCCCATGATCCAGGATACATTTCAATGACACCCACCACAAATGCAAGTGGCTCACCAATGAAGTAGGTTGAAGTGATCCTCATTACTTTTGGAGAGCAAAACAGTGACTTTTCCCAGCAACTGCTTATCATAGAATTTCTACTGCTAGGATACTAGGGGATACTAATGACTGTGTTGAGAAAACCAGGTTCTGATTCATATCAGAAAAAGTAACTGTAAGGAACCCAGGCTTAATCCAGCAATTTTCAAAGAGTGTATTTGTGATTGTTGGCCATCTTTGCTAAAAGTTACTAAGTAATGCAGAATTAAATGTCAAGGTTAACATCTCTTGGAAAGTGATAAGTGCCACAAGATTATAGTTGTATAAATATTTGACCTTGAGAAGGAGATACTTCTGATGTCCTAAGTTTTTGTAAGCAAAGACTTTCATATTTGGGGCTATTGTTCTGCTTAAAACAGGAACTGCCTGATCCGTCTGTGTGTGGAGACAGAATTTAAGAAGTGGGGTTGGGATGGGGCTAAGCTATTGCTGGAGTGAGGACTTTTTGTGTCTTTTTTTTTTCACTCAAGCTATAGATTTTGTGCATCTGTTTATGGGAGTAGAGTTGCTACTCTAAACTGGGTTTAGGAAAAACATTCCAAATGACCTTTAAGAGTCTGCACAGTGGGAGGTCTCCCCAAAGAGTGGGATGTTTCCCTCTGGCCAGGACTGAACACATTAAGAATAGAGAGATGATAAAGTAGCAGGAGAAAGAGAGACTAAGGTACACAGAGCGAGATAGAAAGTGGGGGAGAGAGAGAGAGAGGGAGAGAGAGAGAGAGAGAGAGAGAGAGAAGAGAGAGAGAGAGAGAGAGAGAGAGAGAATATGGATTTATATTATGTCCCTTTTCAGTAAAAGTTTCTTCTAGAGTAACCTGAAGAATGCTGCAGGCTGGGACTGTCCCAGTCCTGGGTAGGAGGAAAAGGCAGAGGGTTCTCTATATTAATTGCTGGCTTTGGCTTATGGATTGTTGCATAGTTGTCTTTATTCTGACAATGTCATGTAGAAGGCCTGGGGGCTTCTTGTTCAGTGGTCCCTGCTAAGTGACCAAATAGGAACCTGAACTGAAATCCAGCCTTCCTTCCCATTAGCACAAAGGCCCTGATTTGGGGCAGGGAGGCCAGGCAGTGTTTTCCAGAAGATAATCCTCTTTCCCATATGGAAGCCAGATCCCCTAGATCTCAGCTGCTGAGCCAAAGAAGCAGCTCAGCTTCTTCCTTCCTCCCCTCGCCCTCCACCCCCCACTGCCAGAGACGTGCTATGTAGCCCTCACTGTCTTGGAGTGGGAGGAAAGGGAATGCAGTTGTGAGCAGCATGTGGCAGGAATTAGAAATAAAAATGCTACATCTCAGCCAGGGGAAATGGCAGTAACCTCCAGATTATAAAATAAATGAGGTCCTCTCTACCTGGGTCAGCAAAAATCCCAACCATCACACCCAGGCCTGGTGGAGAAAATAACCAGAAACATCCCTGCAGAGATCTCTGAAATGCAGCAAAGACAAGCATCCTGGTGAACCATGGACAGTCTGCCCACAAGTGTCAGTGAGCACAGCTACAGAGAGCAGATAGGGGAGTGCCATGGCAAGCTGCAGCAGCAGGTAATGGCTTGTTGCCAGCTCTGAACCGTGGCTACAGGTCATCTGGTCCGAGAAAATGCATGGTAAGAAGGGGAGGCGAAGGGGACATCCAGGACAGGGGAAGAATAAAGTAAGCAAATGAAATATTTCTAAAATGTAATGGAATGAATGTCTTCAAAGAGCTTTGTATTTCTCTGCACAATGTAAATACTGTGTTGCTATCCTATATTACTATTTAAGGGTGATTAACCCTGCTACCTAATGCACATGTTCCAAATAAAGATTTTGCATGAATCTGCTGGTGTCTGTTACTTTTTGTTGAGGGTGGGAAAATTGAACTTGAATAATATTCAGAGGGAAAGTTACCATGGGCCAGCTAACTACAGGGGGAAAGTACACTCCAGGATAGGGAAAACTGACTGGCCCATCAACTGGAAAAAGCAAAATGAGGTATTTGGGGCCACCCTTAGTGTGCATAGAGGATTGGATTCCAAGCAAGTTAATATCCTAAATTGCATTCACCTCAATTGTCCAGAAAAGGAGTAAGGTAGTGTAATGGACAGGGCACTGGACTTGGATTCAAGAAGAGACCTGAGCTGGAAGGTTGCCTCAGACATGGACTAGCTGTGTGACACTTGGAAAATCACTTAACTCCTCTGGGCCTCAGTTTCCTCACTTGTAAAAAAGGAAGT